AAAAGAAGTTTTTTGTTTTTCAGACGGCAGGCAGCTGCTGTCCTGACAATTGAGGGTGGGCGAGGAGTGAGGTAGTGGAGGTGCGACGAGGGGACGGTGTGGTTGGTGAGAATCTGGCGGAGGTAGTAGTGGACAATGGGGGAGAGGTAGTGGTGGTAGTGGGGACGAAGATGGTGAATGTGGGAGAAAGAGGGATCGCCCGTTGGTGGGGCCAGTGGAGCGTGAGGAAGAAGGAGGAGAGCGATAGAGAGAAAGAGTTTGTACGTACTATGATAAATGAAAAATGAGATTATGGTTTGGAAAGAGTATATTGACAATTAAGGGTAGGTTTGGAATTATGAAAATAGTATTTGGATGGAATATTAGGTAAGGGGCTTTTCTCTAATTATTTTTTTAGGAGGGGGGTTTTCCTTAACTATATTTCCTAAGTGAGGGGGTCTTGCTAATTTTCCACTGATAGAATCTTCTGATTTTTTGATGCATGACTAGGGGTGAAGATCGGACGGATCGTATCGAAAAAGGGGTTTTTGGAAAATTTCCGATTCCAATTTATTCGGAATTTTTCAAAAATTTTTGAAAGAAAGGAAGGAGGAGAAAAAAAAACCCGAACACGCCATTAAAAACACTATCTCTAACAACAAAAAATATATCAGCAAACCATGTTCATATTACACATATATGAATCATTAAATAACCGATTGTAGTTATAAAATAAAATTAAAAAAAATAAAATAAAAAAAGTCGTGTATAGATGGTTGAGATCGATCGGTCCAATGGATGGAAGAAGAGGGTAACTTGAACAATAAACTGTGACTCAAAGAAAATATCCGTTTGATGAATCAAACAGGAATAGAGAAGAAGAAAAGCGAGAATATGCTAAGAGGAACGAAGATACAGTTTTCAAAGCAAAGACAAAGAAGCAAAGTGGTGCTACTGCATAGAAGAATTATCTCAGATAGTTTGAAAGTAGAGGTAGGTTAGTAGTTAGTGAAATGAGTCATATCATATGTATATGGCCCCATACGTGACATGGGTCAAATGTTTCAATATTTTTAAAATAGAAAATTCTAAAACGCAGCCCAAAGTAGGAGCTTTGGTTTAAAAATATGTATATGTATAATAAAATAGTTCTTAAAATATAGGGTTAATATGCTGGAGGTCCCTCAAACGAAACGTTATTAGACGTGGGATACGAGCCCAATATTTTTTTGGTAACTAAATCCCTCAATACAAAAAATATATGATATAAGGGTTTTTTTTTTAAAATATCCCAATATTACCCTTAATATTAATAGAACGTTTGTGTGGCGTTTTAAAAAGTTACATCTTTTTAATAAATCATGTCCCTTATAATTAGGGATCACGTATCGTGATAGTAACTGTATCTTAATATAATCTCATTAATGTATATCGCACGTAAGTGAAGAAGATCCCATAAATAACAATATACGGTGCCAATCTGCAAAATATTGAGCGTAGTATTTTCAGTTTCATCTTAAAAAACGTATTGCTTTTCATCATCGCATACCAGTAGGTCTTCGTAAGTTGTTGGTTCGATGCCTTTCCCATTTTTTTTTTTTTTTTTTTTTTGTGAAAAGGTGCTTATGTTGCTACATGTGCTGAGTTTGATAATAGCATGGAGAATTTTCGAAAATATGGTGGCCCGAGAGTGAATAATTGCTTGCTAAATCCGCCATACGACAATTGGGCTTGTTTCCGTTTTGCTGGCCAGGGATTTGGTGAGATGACTTCCAATTTAACAGAGTCTTGGTATTCGCAGATTAGCAAATATCGTGGGCTACCTATTACGGAGATGATAGATGCCATTAGGAGTCTACTGATGTTGCAGATGTACTTGAGGTACGACACTACTGTGCCTTGACACACTGAACTTTGTCTTTTGGATGAAAAACGATTTAGTGTATTGGTACATGAAAGTAGGACATGGTTGCCAAGGAAAGCATCTGACTTGGGGTATGAGGTGTTGAGTGAATCTGTTGCTGTGATTGACTTATCGAACATATCATGCACATGACGAATGTGGAAAATTCCGGGCTTCCCGTGGCTCGATATGTTGTCGTTGCAACCAGATTGGAACTAACAACAAGAAGACATGCACAAGGGCTATTTAGTAGTTTTGATTTGAAGTATTTTTAGCCTTTTG